CCCGCAATAAACCATAAGCCCCAAACCTTAAACCCTAAACCCTAAGCCCGCAAGTTTTCCCCGAGGCACGATAGCCATGCGGCTCTTTTCATGCTCCTCCTGAGACCGAAGACCAAGACCTTGTGCCATCCTCGACTCCCAGGGCTTGGGGCCATTTAGGGTTTGGCGGTTTAGGGTGTAGGCTTTAGGAGTTTGGGATTTAAGGTTTGGGGGTCTAGGGTTTAGAAGTTTGGGGTTTAGGGTGTGGGGTTTAGGCTTTAGGCTTTAGGAGTTTGCGGGATTGGGGTTCTAGGGTTTGGTGTTATTGGGGTTTGAGGTTTGGGCTTTTTTGTCGTGTTTTAGGGTTCCGGGTTTGAGCTTAAGGGTTCAGGCTTTAGGGTATAGCGTTTGGGTTTTAGGCTTTGGGCTTTCGGGTTTGGGCTTTAGGAGGTTGTGTAAAGCTTCTGCAAGGGCTTGATATTTATATAGGGATCTTCGGATACATGGCTTCAGGGGTTTCGGGTACAGAGTTTCCTGAGATCTTAGAAGGCTTCATAAGGTTTAATACCGGCTTTTGCGCTGCGGCCGCAAGCGTTTTATTTTTGCGCACGAGGTTGACACGTTCTCGCAGGCCGCGCCTTTTTGGTATAAAAGCACGGAAGCGAACCTGTAGCGGACTTCTGGGTAACCCTAAACCCTAAAACCTAAGCCCCTAAGACTCCAAGCCTATACCTTGAAGCTTAAGCCCCAAAACACTAAGAAGGCACGACCGGATAGGCCTGGGACATCTGTGCCTAGTGCCCCCTGCATGAATCACTGAAAGCCCAGAAAGAGGGGCTTAAACAAGAGGATGTAAGGCCCCCTGGGGTTCAGAAGTTTGAAGAGCCCGTATATTACTGTATGTTTATTTCAGGCCATACCTGGACCCCAAAGAACCTACTTCTTTAAGGATTTGCATAAGCAAATCTGAATAAGGAGCCCTAACAAAGTATTTTCTGTTGGGGTTCAGAACCCTTACAGAGCACTTTTCGTCCCTTTCGAGCCTTGAAACAGCTTACCTAACCCCAAACCCTAAACTCTACAGCCCTAAAACCTAAACCCTCAAACTGCTAAACCCTAAAGCCCTAAACCCTAGACCCTAAAACTCCTAAAGCCCTAAGCCCTAAACCC